GCTGGGTCTAGTACATTATGATACTTAAAGATGTTGCTTTTGAAGTTTCATTAATCATATCTGTGGCATTTTGAAATATGTAGAGGTCTTCTTTAGGCTTGTAGCATATTCATTTTATTAAATACATTTTTATTTCTAAAAGCTGTGAGGGCAAGTCTCTGTTTATATAAAAATGAGGACAACTGCCCTGTTGTTAAATACAATAGAAAGACTTGATTGGCTACCCCCCCCCCTCCCTAGTTAGTATGTTGAAAAAGGTGATTTCTAAAGATCTTTTTCCAATTTTAGACATTTACAAAACTTGTTTACAACATGAAAGATTCCTGTGACCCTTTTACAGTAAGTTATGTTGATCATGAATTTAATTTTAGAAGCTAGATTTTATTCCCTCTTGTTCATGTCCAGTATGTAATTGAAGTGATACAGACAGGGACATCACTCCACCCAAATCTTTTTTTAACAAAAGGATACTCTATCACTACAGGCCTTGAAATTTTCAGCATTTAAACCCAATCTCAATCTAAAAAAATCACAATTAGTCTGCAGAAAATTGGTTACTAAGGCTAACTATTTTTTCTTGTTTGCTTGCAAAAATCCTTCTGCAGACAAATCAAAATTTGTATAGCTGTGTTATGTTTCTGAATTTTACAATCAATTGTTGTATGTGCAACAAAAGTATGTGCGGGAATTTTCACAGCAAAATTTTAAAACAAGCTATTAAAGCAGGATGGATGGAAACAAGCTCTTACAGACCTTTTCCACATAACAGGAAAACTGAATAATTCAGACATTTTCTCCCATATGCATCCTCAAAAAATCTTTAAGAATGTTCAGCTTACTCATTGTATGCAACCTTTCACCTTATATTGGTGCTGTCAAAAGAAGACCCCTCTAAAATGCATCACTTGGTAGAGAAATTTAAAGATGTGCTGTGTTTTGACTTTCAAAGTAAGTAAGTCCATACTAATTTTTTTCAAGGTTTCATCAGATGTAGGAAATGAGGACTGGGAAGCAGTTCATCGGTCCAGCCATGACACCAATGCAAGTCTAAATCTGAAACAATCTGCCAAAAAGAATGGGGAATCTGGTTCTGGGTGGTGTTGTCCTTTAGGCTAATTTTGTATTTATATTTACATGGGCCTCTAAATCTTAGGTATATCATGCATATGTGCTAGTCTTAGTCTTCTTAGTTTCTATTTAGAAAAACTTGACAATATGTGCCCCTTTAATAATATCTTTTGTTATAAGGCAAATGTTATAAGAGATACAGAAAAATATCCTCATTTTTACTACTCCTAAAACTAAGACACAAAGAATTAAAAGGATTAAAAAAACCTATTCTGGTATTCAGTGAATTGCATTATTTTAGTGCCTTCTGAAGAAAGAAACAGGTTCTGTATAAATATATTGGCCTATCTAAGTTATTGTCCTAGAATTTGTCAACATGCATCAAACCTTTTTTTAGGCCTCAGGTGTCGGTTAACGTATATTAAAGTATTGTACTAAATCAACCTCTTTAACAGTTTGAGCATATTAGAAATTTTGAAATTATCAGAAAGTTTAAAGGAATGTTTTGTAAATTTCTGATTCGTCAATTTATATCAATATTTTTATAGTCATATAAATTTGTTTTAATTAGAAGTAGAGAAAGTAGAGAAGTAGAGAAAATTTCTCAGAAAATATATTTGTGTAATCAGTAAAAATAAGCCTCTCTATTGTTCAAAGTAGATTTTTCTCAAGAAAAACTATTTCGTACAGAGTAATCCAATCTTTCCACAACAAGTATGGAGCTTGTCCTCTTTGCATAAGAATGTTGGTGTTCCATAATGCAGAATAAGCTGTGACATATAGCTGCACAATATTTTTTATATATTTTTGGCCTATCATGAACTGCTCAATGCTGTAGAGGAAGAGCAGTAAATTTGTAGGTGTATTGAATGAGTATTACACTTTTGTATATCTTACTCAACACACAGTGTACTCATTTTTTTACTTAAGAGTTTTGAAAAATATTAAAAACCTGAGATGTTAAGATATAGGATTTGTTCAGTAGAAGTAAGAGGACAAGATATTCAGTCGGTAGATAGAAGATTTAAACGGGGGTTTATTAATTGGTATTCCACTATTTTCTAAATTATATCTTTGGTGAGTTTTTGTTGTTCTTTGGCTACCTTGAACAAATTTAGCTAATACAACATCAAAAAGATACACAAGATTTGAAAAAATCCGAATGAATTGTGTTTTACTATACATGCTACCATAAAATACAACACAGTAATTAAAAAAAGGTCTACATATGATCTTCCATCCTACATTTTATCTTTAGCTAAAATGAGTAAAATTTGATTATTGAATACGTTGAAATGTTAAAAAATTGGACATATTCTTGGACCTCTTCTGTCTGCTGTTAAATTTTGATTTGTACTTGGGAAATGTTGATCATATATTCTTTTTGTAAGGTTAGAAAAGGCCTGGGGAAATAAAATTAATAATTAATAATCAAATATACATGCAAAAGACCATTCAGAATAATGGTTTCTGTAAAAAAGGAGCCATTGAAACATATCAAGAACTGTGCATTCTATCAAAAACATAAGATTTGACATAAATATCACCATAAAATCTCTGTATTGAGTCATTCAAAAATATTATAGCCTGAAAAGGGAGGCTGCATCCTGTTATCCTAATATGTTGAATGAAAGGACTGTGTATGTTTAAAAGCCTAATAGAAGTACATAGCAACAGAGAAAAATAGAATATTTGATTTTACTTCCAGTTTCATTACTTTTATTTTGCTATTGATACTAATGGAAACAGAATAATTTCCATGTGCTACTCTTCTTTACCACATTGATTCAAGACACACATTTTAAATACCAGGTTTCCTTTCTTTTCAGCAATGCTAATCTCATTGTTTTTCAAGTTCTTTTATGTGGTAAAAGCAAAGAGTTTGTCATTTTCCTGAAACAACTAGTGCAAATTTAATGGAAAGGACAATCATTGAATGATTTACCTGGTGCACAAATCTGTTTTGTTTTGCACTTGTCAAGATTATGTCTGTGTTTCTGAGGCTCTGACATTTCTATGACAAATTGGACACTCGTTTTAGTGAACAACGGACAAAAAAGCTACACAAATTTCCCATAGTGAATAAATCAAAAATAGGGGAGGAATATAAAAGGCCCAGATGATATAAAATGTAAAATCATGTCTATTTTTATGCAAAAAGGAAACAAAATTCCATGTTTATACAATTATTTAATGGAATAATTGCTCTACCCCTCCCCCTAAATGTAGTAGAATTTAATCGCTGTCCTTTTTTTCTGATAGAGACAATCCAAAGTAATAAAATAAGGGAAAAATCAGCTTTTTTACAGCAACTACGACTTCTTCCTGGACACATTTGCTGGGAGAGTCATTTTTTAAACCAATGATGAGCTTTGCTGAGTGATCAAATCTATTGTTTCCAATGACCTAAAGAGAATGGAAAAATCATTAGTCAAATGTCAAGCTAGAAATGATACCATATTCAGCACTAAAATATTGACCAGCTTGAACAAATATGGAGAAATATGTTCTTGATGATTTACTCATGTCAAGTTATTGTTTAGTGAAATGGTAAGGCAGGTTTTTACAACTAGTACCTGATTAAGAAATGGGGTAAAATATGCTATTAAAAACATGGTCAAGAATTTCAATTCACATACTAAACACATGTTCTCAATCCAGTTGTCAATATTACTCCAGCTTTTGTCTGAATCCACACTGTAGCAAATCATGAAGCCCTGGCAGGAAAAGGGAACCAATCTTATAATATCCATGATAATTAATGCCAAAGACAATTGAATCAATCAAAAAAATATTTCATAAAACAAACGCTATTTGGTATTTGAGATATAATTTGTTTTACTTACATGAATAATTCCATAATGATATGAGGTTAATGTTCTAAAATCATTTGCACCTGAGAAGTCCCTGGAGAGAAAAGCACACCTTTATGTTTAACAGAAAGACATTTACTAGCAGCTTTCCCGTTCTGAATTTGCCAACTGGGTTCCAAAAAGTGGCAATATTGCAAAATTACATTGTCCAAAAATGTTTGAACTATTAGAGTATTTCATTAAACAATGAAAACTATATTTATCACAGCATCTCAGTTCATTTCTTGTTTAAAATTCCACTGCATACAATTTTATGATGATAAATATACAAAAGACTATATTATTATAGAAAATTTCTTAACATTAAATAAAAGAAATCAAAAGGAATATACAAGTACATAACAACCATCCTCTATGAAAATTTGCTCCAGAACTTCCAGTTTTCTATTTTAGTATCTTAAATGAAAGAATCTCACTTTTTCTAGAGGGATAAAACCTTCCAGGTATTGCTAAACATATAAACCTACAGCATAAGATGTGGATGCATGAAACATACCATATTTCAAGTTCTACTTTCTGTTTTTCAATATTTATGGTCTTTTTGGATAAACTGTAGCCTGAAAATTAAATTATGGAAATTATTAAAATGATAAATACAGATTCATGAGGATTCTAAAGCCAATTTTATGGTATTCGCAGTTGCTTTGTCGAAAAGGACCTGAGATTCGACATCTCTATGCTTAAATTAGCTGAAACTGAAAACCTCACATCGTTTGGAGTTCATGGTCGCGAGTAACTACGTTCTGAATATCATGATATTTCTAGAGATCGACAACATTCCTGTCGCGGGTGAAAACATTCTGATCAAATATACACAATTAGCGGCCTTACAGCCCTAGAAACAAGATATTTTCGGCACAGACTTATTACAACGTGAAGGTTTTAATTCCATGATCCACCTTTTGGCAAATATGAAGATAAAAAAAGACGGCCCAAAATGGGAACCATGCAAAAAATATTATCAATCAAACCTTGCGTGGTTATGTAGACCTCGGGATAAGAATTATCAACAAATCTCGATATCAAGCTCGTTTTTCCAATCCCACTGTCTCCTATAACCCCAATTTTGTACTTGACGGGTGCGCAAGCCATATTTTTCGTACGTTTTCTCGAAAATTAGCTGAGATTACGGCAGTCCATTCCTTTCTCTTTAAATTTTGTCGCTATGGTTGTGAAACCACCGCTGCACTTCCTTCTTGGGAATAAAAAGTGATCACGTGGTGTTGCACATGGTTGAAATTCTACATATACGAATGAGACCGAGGGGCGATTCACTCTTGCAAATAGCGTACGAGATTTTTCCTAAAACACAAGGATTTCTGAGGATTTTCAGATAAAACAGTAGGCTTTTTTCAAAAGGTGTACGAGGTTTTCTTAGAGTGATTTGCCCCTTGAATAAAGTGGGGGGTCTATATTCATGAAAAGATGAGGACTAGCCCCAGCTAAGCTAGGTACCATTAGGCACGCAATGGCAACCAATAGCACCTAGTATGCTCTGGGACACAGACTTCATAGACCATTTTACGCTAATGAAGCCCTGTATGCCGGGGCAAAATATTATTATTCGTTTTATTTAATTTAGTTGGAAAATTTCTTTCATTGGATTCTCTTCGCTGTTTTGCTTTGTTCCTGAATTTTATCTTCGTATCTTTATTCACTGCAAGATTCACTGAATCCGGTGGACAGCCTATCCTGCGGTTCTCACGCTTATATACCTTACCTCATTTATATAAAACCCACCTCATTGATACAAAGCCCAACCTTTGGATGCTGCGTGGTGTTTACCAGAGGGCATCATTTGATACAAAATGAAAGTGTGTCAAATGAAAATGAAAAGAGAACTGCATTGGAAAAAATAAAAACAGACTTATAACAATATTTTCCTTTCCCAAAAACATATAAATTAACAAAGTTATTGCGAGAACTGTTTTGAACTCTACAAAATATATGCTCAAAAGTTATGGAAATGCCAAGGAATGTCTCAGTCAGAGCTGTCTTCCGTCTCTTCTGTGACATGAAAACTATCATAGTTTTCGAATTATAAGCATTTAAATTATTCGTAATTTCTTGTTTAGTCTGATTTCTAATGAGCGCCGCTTTCAAGATGCGGCTTTTGACAGAGGACGGGGGGGAGGGGGCGGGGTTTATCAGAAGGCGGTGTCCATTAGAGAAAATACAGTATGTGCATGAGGCAGGGTCTACATGGCCAAAGACAAGAGTAAAAAATTCTCTGAAAGAAATAACGGAAAAAGCTCTAACCCCCGTTTCAATATGAGCTGATGGATCTCCACAGGGGTCATATGATATAAATGCATCTGCCTGGGGGCCTAGCTTTTTTAAGGAAAAAGAAAGAAAGTAACATATTGTTTTAAACAATAGAGGGCCACTTGCCCCTAGTAAGTATATGTTGAAAAATCTAAACCATTCCATTCAACCCAAAGCGAAACCGATCTGTCTTCTCGCTGAGGGTCCTTTAACATGCAAGCAACTTCTCGCCAAAGCCGCCCTCTGTTAATTATATAAAGGTCATTCGGTTTCTGAGGCCTAATTAAGTTTTACAATCCACGACTGTTCTGCGTGTGTTAATGAAGAGTTTATCTGTATAAATGCCATTCTAACATGTGTAATTATAATGGAAACATACCAGTGCTATCTTCGTATTGTGCAGTACTAAAATATTATGCGATTATTTAAAAACCTGCAATCTTCTGCAGCTGGTAACCCAGGGTCTAAAAACATCATATTTTCTTAAACCAAGAAAATTTCGAAAGTAAACCTCGTATATCTGGTAACAGTTTTTTGATGAAACTTATGGCCTATACCAGTGCCTCTAGCCCCATCGAAAATGGTCGAACACAGTACATCAACAGCTACCATGGGTACCAGAGCCAAGGAACTTGTGAGGGAATTCAAGATGGGAGAAAACAAACTGTTTCATGAATGAAAATTTGAATCCAGAAAGATGTCGTCCACTAAGCACGCATCATACAGACATGCATGACTGTCACTGGAAACAAAGACTTGACTGCGGTGTTCCCCAGGGATCTATCCCTGGTTCACTAGTGTTCATATTGCTAATAAATGACATCGAGAAAATTGTTGAATTAACAAATTCTATAACTTATGCTGATAACACAGCTTTGTTCAGTGCTTGAAAGACAAGTGCAGCGGACTGTAGGTTCGAGCTGTGACTTGTATCATTCCATAGGATTTGAAAACAGTTTGGGATTGGGCGAGCATGGCAGCGGGCAGCAGTAGATTTATACCAAACTTTTAATTATAGGTTAAGCTGATATACTCCTCTCAAGGTAACAACAAAAATAATAATGATATATCGACGTTGATACAATTTTTCTTGGTCAACCGAGTAGGGTCTAAAAATCAAGGACTTGTGTCCAACAAATTTTACTGTAAAATATTAAATCATTTACAATTAAAAAAATATCATTTAGACTTTGAGATAGCAGAAGCCAGATAAAAAAATGTTGAATGGAAGTGGAGATGCATTTCGATCGCTCGTGATCTCGATTAAAGTGGCCAAATTACATTCGATGTAATATGAATATCACTAAATTTTAATGAGAATTACCTAATATATAAAAAGTGTTTTTGATTTAATTTTCAGCTGATCTTTGTTTACTTGCTTGCTTAATGACTTGAACACGTTTGCCAATCAACCAGGTAAACTGAGGTTAGAAATAAAACACGGTCACATACCCACACGAATGAAACTGGCACAGTCTTGCCTGTACTGTAGAAATTGGCAGCCATCTTCTAATAAACGTCTCTTTTCCTCTCAAATTAACAGGAAAATTAATTTAATTTAATTTATTTGGTTTCCAATATAAATCAATGAAAGAAGAGCGTCCATCATGAATAATGATTTAACATGTGACCTCTGCTGAGCATGCCTCTGTCATCAGCAATAAACCATTTTGAACCTATTCGTTCTCTGTAGACATTTTCTGGCCGCCCATTGGCATCCATTAGCGCTCCAGTAAGGATTTTGCCTTTTATGGGATTTGCTTTGCCTTATAAGGGTGCGAGGTGATTTTGCCCGTCTTATTTGATATACAAGATGATTCGCTCGGTTAGCCATGTATGTGCCCAGGTCTATTATGTCATGGCTGGCCGCGCGATTCCCCGTTTAAAGGTCACTGCGCAAATAGCAGGTTGTCTACCATCTTCAGCTAATTTTCACTGTAATCCAATTCGCTTGTTTGCAGCAATCAGCGTTGCCTCCAATTTCCATTATTTCTTCGATACTCATTCGATTTCAGCTGATGGGAAGCATCTCAATGTGACCTTCCGACATGAAAAGTGGATTTATTCTAGTCTTTGGCATTTTTTGCGTCATCGAATGTTTCCCACTTTCCTTGAACAGTAAGTTGAGATAATATCGAGTTCAGTTTATATTCTCCCTTTTCGGGTGAAATTTCTGATCAATCTCCTATTCAAGGCTACAAATGACTCAAGCCCAACTGCTGCTGCACGACAAAATATCATCAGCCATTTTGAGATGATCAAGATGGAACTATCAAATGTCGTATGCTTTGATGTAAGTCTTCTCACGCCGTAAATTTCTCTGCAGGTGCAAGAAAAGAAGATACAGGGTTAAACAGGAGAAAACGAAGCAACGAGCAAATTGCAGACAATGAGGGTAATCCATCTTGAAAATCTATCAGTAAATCATTCAGATATTTAAAGGGTGACAATTGTATTATCTTGAACTTCAAAGCAATTAAAAAATTCCACTACAATGTTTTGAGCTACAAACATTTAAGACACATATTTCAATTAAGAACAATTATTAGGTCAAAGAAGATTTGGTCGCCTTCAGCGCCCCTCGATTCTTGGTTGGCGGTGAACAGATACCCCTTTTCAGAAGCACTATCTCTAATAAATCCGGCAATTTATTTCATATGTATTATTATTATTATTTATCTTATTTATACACAGAAACCCTATCAGCTACTAAGTTAAAAAAGATTAATTTACATATAATGCTGGTCTTTATAGGGATCGTGCTTCGGGAAAGGATGCTAATTTTGCAGGAATTTCTTTAATGTCTTTTTTAACGTGGTAATCGTGGAGCTCATTCTTATTAGTAATGGAATTTCGTTCCACATCTGTTCACCACAATAGAAAAAACTGCTTTTGGATAATTCTAGGTTTTGCCTTGGGATGTCTAGGTGAAGGCAATTTCTTGTTAAATAGTTAGATATTTGGGATCTTATGACAAGTTTTCCTTTCAAATTTTCAGGGCAGAGACCATTTATTATTTTCTAGATCATTACTGCCCTGTCAAATTTTATCAAATTTGAGACCGAAAGCCAATTGCAGTTCCACCCGTCCTTTAATCTTGAGCCTTCTATTAGCGTGTGCGCTCTGTTTTGTAAACGCTGAAGATGATCGAGCTTTGTGATTGACAATTTGCCCCATAGTTCATCACTGTATCTCAAATGACTCTCAAGCAGTGCATTATAGACCTGATCCAGTTTCGAATGCGGGAGTATGTTTTTTAGCTTCCATTGGGAAGAGAGAACATTTTTTATTCTACCTTTAAGGTTTTTATATTGCTTATTCCATGTCAGGTTTTCGTCGACCGTAATTCCTAGGTACTTTACCTTTTGAGCTCGTTTGATTGGCTATCCATTCACATTTACTTCTAGTGGGCCAAGGATACGGTTGGTTTGTCGTTTATGGCCAATAACCATAGATTCTGTTTTTTCAGTATTCAAGCTAAACTAATTTTGACGTAACCATTCTGCAATATTGTCGATCTCAGCTTTTAGATCATTACAGAGATCGTAGATATCTTCGGCAATACAGGTGACACTGGTATCGTCCGCATACGTGTTTGAGGTGTATTTTTTGAGGCACTGCTCAAAATCATTGACATACAGGAAGAAGAGGAGTGGCCCAAGCACGATCCCTGGGGGATACCGCAGTGAAGCTTGATTTATGGCCATTTATTTGCCAGTATTGTCTTCTGCCTGTTAAATACGATGTGAACCACCGAAGAGATGTCTCTTCCACTCCGTATTTGGTTAGTTTCGATAGAAGAATCCCGTGTAAAAACAATGGGAAATCTTTACACATTGTCGAAATTCGCATTGTTTCAATACTGCACAGGATGTTCAAAACGTTCCATTAAATTGCCGCATTGCCAAAAAATTTACGTAATATAACTCAAGATTGTCATATATTATTGGTCATGAAAGCAAAAAAGAAATAATAAAATCGAAGTGTATTTGACTTTTCCAGTTCGCACAATAATATCAGCAATCGTTGATGCCATCCTGGATGGTGACAAAAGGAAGAGATCCGAAATTCCAGGTAAAAGTACTAGCTTCTTTTTCCTCTTGAATGCTGTTTTTCTTTTGCTAATCATTCAAACATTTAGCATAAATTTCGGCATTAATAAGAATAAGAAAAATGCCATGCAGTGTCACAGCAACAATAATACTGCTTTTCTCGAAGTTGAGTTTGTTAAAAGCGCTGGAGAGGCTTGATGATATATACAAAACGAAAGTGCAGCTACAATGGCCTACTTCAATCAAAACGAAAACCTGCAACAAAAAGCCAAAATACGTATATATAATTCAAGTGCAAAGTTCTAAATGCATCAATGATTTGATGTTGTAGTTTTTGAGATGTGGCAAAAATTGTCTGAGTTGAACCGTCAAATGTTTACCTTGTTGCATACTTTATTTTTTAAGATGGCGATGAAGATGAAACCGGAGAAACAATAACTGGTAAAGAGTTGGACACAACAACTCGAAGGGCTCTTAAAAACAGCAACACTGAGATGGGCATTAACAAAAAGTTGTCCAAGACGGGGACTTTCGATAGAATTTCAGCCAAATCAAATTTCAATCCGTTGATTGAATCAGCCGTAGAGCAACAGGGAGGCAAACGTTCCAAAACTATACAGGATAACTCAAAGAAAACAAAGGATGAAGGCAACGTACAAACTTTAGAGTTCAATGGCTCCGGAAATAATATGGAAAAAGGATCCTCAAAATCTAGCAACTCCATTGCGGTAAAAACACAGAACGTTTCAAAACGAGGTGTCGAAGACTTTGATTCGAATCTTATTGGGTCTCGGACAACGGAAAGTGAGATGCTCATTGACAAAACTGTCGATTCGTTAATACAAACTGCGGATTTTGTGGCATCTGAGTCAAGTGAATCTGGGGAATCAGGAGAATCCGGCCATTCTGGAGAATCGGGAGAATCCGGGGAATCTGGAGAAGCGGGTGAATCCGGAGATTCTGGAGAATCAAGCGAATCTGGAGAATCAGGGCAATCTGGAGAATCAGGGCAATCTGGAGAATCAGGGCAATCTGGAGAATCCGGCGAATCTGGTGATACATCTGTATCAAAGTTTAGCAAAAGAGATCGAATTCCTAAAGATGCTGAGGAAATAAAGACACAAGAAAATCATATCGTTGCAAAACAAAAAGTTAAGGAGACTTGGCCAAGGAAAAGGGAGACTTCTGTTGAAGAAGAGGGTTTGGTAGTAGGGGAAGGGAAGGAAGGAGAAAGTTCAAAGAGTGGGGAACTTGGAGAAAGCGGAGAAAGTGGAGAAAGCGCAGAAAGTGGAGAGAGTGGAGAGAGTGGAGCAAGTGAAGAAAGTGGAGCAAGTGGTGAAAGTGGAGCAAGTGGAGAAAGTGGAGAGAGTGGAGAAAGTGAGGAGAGTGGAGAGAGTGGAGAAAGTGGAGAGAGTGGAGAAAGCGGGAACTCAAGCAACGGTGATGTTCAGAGTGAAGCGTCCTTTCAGAAAAGAAGTGATATTCCAAATACCAAAGGAAAATTTAACAAAGAACAGTCTTTCTCCAGTAAAATAAGTGGAGATTCAGAACAGTCCGGCGAAAGTGGGGATTCAGAACATTCAGGCGAAAGTGGCGAGTCGGGTGAATCCGGCGAAAGTGGCGAGTCGGGAGAATCCGGCGAAAGTGGCGAGTCTGATGAATCCGGCGAAAGTGGCGAGTCTGGTCAATCCGGCGAAAGTGGCGAGTCGGAAGTATCAGGAGAAGGTGGCAACGGCTCATTCCAAAAGAGAAGCGAAATCCCTGGATTTCAGTTGGAAAGTGATGACGGTAAGAAGTTACGGCAACTATTCCACCTCAACGGGAGCTTTTCGCTTGCTGATCTGGATAAATTTACGACTGAACATTTTTAAAATTTGAGCATTTCTCATTGTTGCATGATTAGAAAAATTAGCAACAGCAACTATCTGGATAAAAATCAAAGTGGGGTTTGGGATAATTAGCTGTTCTTTTGGAAAACGGTTGCGACAGAAACAAAGCTGATAAATTGCAATGCAATGCACTGCTTTGGCAATAGAAATATCGTTTGATTTTAATAAACAAATAAATCAGAACTTTTTTCGCTACAAATCAAGCTAACTTTTACTTTTGAAAACAGTTAAAATGACATCAAGTCTTTATTGTCAAAATGGATCACTGGAAAGAACATTTTCTCTTAACTAAATTGAAACAGGTTATCAACTCAAATGTGAGTATAAACGGCAAGAAACATATGAGAAATACAAGTGATTTGTTTACATGATTCTAGATGCAGCTGCTGTTTCAGGAGAATCGGGATCTGGGTCAGGAGATGATCACGAGGACGACCTTACTGAAAAATTTCAGATGCAAATAAAGCAGAACAGGTCGGATACTGGCTTAGGGAGCCACATAAAGACTGTGGAAGAACAAGGACGAGAGCTTGAGCAGGATACTAGTGGGAGTGGCAGTGGTGACGTAGAAGAGGAAAGCGGCGATGAAGACTCTGAAGAGGAAGCAGCAAGCGAAGAGAGTGCCAAAATCGTCGAAAAGATTGTCCAAAGCGTCGCTAAAGCGGCCAAACCAAGAGAACAGTCATCCGAAACTGACGACAGTTCCCAAAAAGATGAAAGTGCCAGCAACGACACGAAAGGGTCATCAGAACTATTAACAACTGTAACTCGATCAGTCGATGATGCAGATGAGGACTCTCTCGGAAAGCAGAAAGAGACTAGCAAAGCAGGAGCAATTGACGCTACAAACGTAAGTGAGACGGTTATCACTCCCTCTCCTCCATGTGAAGCTTACCAGTTCTGGCTATTGCAGTAGACTTGTACCTAACGACTTGTACCTAACGACTTGCACCTAGCAATAATTTGTCTATCCTGGTGCAATTTTTAGCCAGATAAATAAAGCGCGAAAAATCTTCAGGCACAATACATGCCAAAACTCTTTTACATAAATGCTACTTAATCTTTTCTCAGCACTTTTGAGCATCTTTCTTCGAAATTTATCTAGATTATTTACTCTTGCACTTTTTAAATTTAATTGTCGCAATGTTATCGTCATGCCCGATTGTGCTAGACAATTTTCCTTTCATCAACAATAGACATGACATATATGAATTTTGGTAATTTCCTTTCTCTTCTGATATTTTTATGATTAATATCATATTGTTTTTAGGAAGATGCATCTTTGTTTGGTCTGGTCAAAAGAATGGTTCTTCATAGTAAGTATTTCGAAAATGCGCAAAATCCTGAAGATTTTTTGTTTCTTTTGGAAGAGTTTATCAGCACCTTTATTTGTTTCATGTTGAATTACCTGGACCAATTTAAGATGATCCTAGTAGACTTGGAGCCTAAGTCTTTAAGGTCTGGTGAATGTACGTAGATTTACGGAGAGAATATATATATATAGATTTTGTGCTAACTGAAGTTGAAATTCAAAAGGAATGAAATACTATAAAAAAGTAGGATAAAAAAAATAAGGAAAGGTTGCAGCCGAAGCATTTTATCTTACATTTATTAGATTATTCTCTGTGTTCTGCAAATTTACTTTGTTTGTAAAGGTGGGAAAGACGGAACAAAACTGACAGAGACGCTTCTTCACCAGCAAAAGAATCAAGACGAGCGAAAGGTATTATAGCAGCCAGAAAGACCAATTATAATTCCTTTCATAGTTATCAGCTCCCTAAATCAGCAATGGCTTAGTTCTTTTTAAAAGAAAAAGTATAGTTCAAGAATATTCTTTTCTATTACGTTTTGAACTTATTTGATCTAATTATGTAATCAAAAAGTAATTAAAATGAATAATCAAATACAATCAACATGATCTGTGTATTTATATAATATATTGACAAGACGCTTCTATGTTTCAACTCCGAGTTTGATGTTTAATGGGAGAATCATGCACTGTTAAAGCAACGGGTTCCCTGAAAAGTACTTCATCTTTTTCAGTTATAACTTTTAAGAAGGTTTACACTTTAGCAATAATGTTGATATTTATTTAGGCCTTAACTTAAAACTTTTGGAATAAAACATCAAATACCTAAAATCAAATACCTTATCATAATATCTAGAGCCAAATATGTAAATGCTTATGTAAAGTTATATTCCTTTGTATTTTCTAGCTGACTGGCGATTTAGAAGAGGCTGTAGGCATGAAAAACATTGAAGGCGATGCCGAAAAGGCTACTGTAAGATCATTCATTAAAAAAGGTAATTATTCATGCCTTGTCATCTTTCGGCACCAATTTTTAATGCTTCATGTTTCAAATCTTCGTGATCGAGCGTGTTATTAAATGTTCTTTAACAACTTCAGATCTACTGATTATTCAAGAGTCCCTTTTCAAATGCATGAAATAAGTGGAGGTAGAATCGCTTCGTCACTAAAATGGGCTTCCTTCCTAACTAGAAATCGGAGACTTAGAAGGCATGGCAGCCTCACTCTCAAACATTGGTGGCCTAGATCCTGAGATGCATAAAGTAATAGCTGCCTCATTGGAGCGAGGCATGATGAAGAGGCTGTCCATTCCGGAAAAGAAAATGTCTGACCTGGCCCAAGAGGAAGATTCCATAGTTAAGGACGCAGAGGCTCTGTTCATAGCAAGTAAGTTCAAAGATTACAATTAAAAATTTCTAGCAGGGATGGGACAAAAGGGATCAATGAGGAAAAACTTATCCTGCCTAGAAATATTCTCAAATTTTCTTTTGATTAAATCAATTTATTTTGCTTCTTCACAAAAGGTAATGATTTGTTGCAAAAAGCCGTCTAAAATAGTTATTAATTTACTACTTTTTTGCAGAAAAGTTGACAGATATTCAAGATAGCGATGCTGTACTAACGACAGAAGAGCTAGAGTCTAAAAAGCGATCTTTGGATTCGTTGATTGAAGCCCTTCCGATTGCAAGAAATAAAATTGAACAATTGTCTAAAACTGTAAAAGATGCGGCCTTTGTAAACAAACGAAAAGAAGGGGATCTTAAAAAGGGTACATCGAGGTGAGAAAATGCAGGGATATGGCAAAAAGGGGAGAAGAGGTGATTGGAATTCAAAAGTTCATCTCGTGGCTATTATGTTGCAGTTAGTGTTCATCAAATGCCTTGCGGGTGAACTACCTTGGGAATAAAAGGCAATATGACATAAAAGTTCATCAATTTGCAGTTGAAATTGAAACTGAATGACAAAAAACAACTCGTTCCTTAGATGCCATTAACAATAAATATCTATTCTGACAATCGGTCGTAGCGCTTTAAATAAAAAATTTTTATCTTCAATTTTTGAAATGACGTGAGCAGCTTGTTGAATGAGCTAAACTGATAAATTAAATTATAAACTTTACCGATGGGAAAGTTTTTTGCTCAAGGGTTTTCTTATTTTCCTACCTAATCAACTAAAACTAACTACAATTCAACGTTCGAAGTAATAATGAGTTATATCTAGCCTAACGTGTGTAATTAGAACTTAGTGAATGTAACTTTTATACGCAAATAAGCTTATGAATATAATACTCAAGCTACACATAATAAGGGTGATATTCAAACTACAAAATAACGGGATACGTTAATGAATCGGCCATTAAGAAAGCTAATATCTTGTTACCTTAGAGCCGTTTTGCTTTCAGCATTTTAATTTGTTCTATAAATACCTTCATCGCATGTGCTTGAAGCTTAATGAAGATCTAAGTTCTACTTTTTCAAAACTTATAATAGAAATGACAAGGTATCAAATACTTCTTTTATTAATTGAACTTTTTACGTTTTAAGTTCATTGTGGTTTTGTGTTGATACAGTTGTGTATGTATATAGTAATGCATTAAAGCAATAAATGAATCTACAAAAATTTCTTTTTTTGCTTAAAAGTCCCTCTTTTAAAAAAAACCGGTGATGAATGAGGTTATTATTATCTTGCTTTTGCTGTTGGTCCTGAATAGAATCAAGCTAATTTCTATAAGAGATTTCTGTTTCTCGTTTATTCCTAAACACAAAGATCGCAGCAGTTTTATACCGTAGATTTTAATAACAAACATGAAGAATATGTAATGTAGAACAAAGTAGAATAAAGGCTAGTAAAAGCAAACCTTACCATAAAAACAAATATGCCAATATTGAGCAATTAGACATTGCAGCAGAAAAAATTGATCTTTCAATATCTAATTTATCAATACGTTTTCAATAACCCTGGGATAATGTCTCTCTAAATAGATCAATCAAACGGTCCATCATTGACCTCTTCTGGTTTTCTTCAACATCTGATTGTTTTTCAATATGAATTGATGATCTGTCACCCTATATTTAATGCCGCAAATTGCTTCTCGAGCAATTCTTTGTTGCAACCCAGAAGTATGCTTGCAAAATAGAAACATGCAGAGGGGATTTCATCCATGTTACTTGCTTCAACTGGTATTGCCACATCAATTGCAATAGGAAGTCGTCTGTTGCCTAGCAACAAGGCAGCAGGTACCAGTGATTTTGCTGCTTCGTATTGATTTCAGCCTCGTAATCACATGACCATAGCTGGTTGTAGCGATGATTTTTGACCGTTGTAAAGCTTTTTACAAAATGTTGCAGGTGGCTACAGAAAGAAACCAATGGAGCACGCAGCCATCCATAAAAACAAAAACGGAAATATTATTTTCCCTTGTTTAAAAACATTCTTTCAAAGCCAACGGATCTTGCAAAAAACTTGTTCTAAAAATTTGTTTCAGTTTATCGCTAGGAAATAAGTTCTACATAAATAAAAATTACCGTCCTCTAGAACGGAAATAATTTGAATCTTGGTGATGGAGTTGTAAAGAAAGGCCACATGTTGCTGAAATGCCCGTCAGAAACAGCTCTTTGTGATAACTTCTCAAGAATCTCTTAATCGTTGATAGAAGAGCAGAATAATTGTTATTGTCGTTTGCCTCCAGCTGAGTGAATATCATGGATTACCTTGACACGAGGTGGACTAAGCTGAAAGATTACGATTTTGGGGAACAAGATAACGGGGAAACAAAGCGCTTTATCGACTCAGATGAGGGTTCTGGAGATGAAGAGTGGGTACAACAGCTGCACAGGGACTACGGAAATACTCATAAACTTGGGCTACGAAAGCGTTTGTCGAGGTGGACATCGATGGAGAAGTATCTAAGCATCGGGTTGATTATTTCTATTATAATTGGGGTATTCCTGTGCGTCATTTTAATGATAAATTACTTCACAACATCAAGATATAAGCAATTTTGGCAAGAAACATTTGAAAGCAAATGGGGAAAAGATCTAACGAGTATTTGTACGAAAAAAAGTTGCGTTGAAAGGTCGTACTACTTGACTGAATATATCGATGAAAAAACTAAACCATGCGATGATTTTTATCAGTATTCCTGCGGAAAATGGCTTTCCAATGTTGACATACCATCTGGTCAGTCTAAATGGACAAGTTTTACAAAGCTAGCCGAAAAAAACCATCGGAAACTAAAAACTATCTTAGACAAACTTCATCCTCTTGAAAGTGAAAGCGAGGCAGTGAAAAAAGCACATATGTTTTATAAAGCATGTCAAAACAAGGCATGGATGGAGAAAAATGGACTGAAAAATTTGGAAAAGCTTATAAAAGATATCGGGAGTTGGGGACTTTGGAACAGCACTGAGTGGAATGATGAAGATTGGAGTTTTGAGCAAAGTTTGACAAAAATACACAAATTAAAGAGCATGCCACTCTTCTATATGTTTGTAGCAACGGATGATTTGAATGCAAAAGAGAACAGCATACAGGCAAGTCTATGCAAAAATGTGTTTGATCTGTACTTTACAAAAGACCGTTAACATACAAACATCAGCAAAAAATTTATGCAAAAATCTGACGCTCGTTGACATTCTAAAATGCTACCCTTATGAGTTATAACGAAGATAAAATGTTTTATTTATTAAGGCTATGTTGGTGAACAAAGGAGATAATTTTGCAGATGCTCAAAATGCTACCATAGAAGAAGCGTTGTTTTGGTCTTATATTACATAATAGAGTATAAAGTAAAGTATAAGAGTATAAATGAACCTTTCTAGGACAAATAAAATGAACAATGAGTTCCGGTTAAAATTCTAGATTCAACAATCAGGAATCACTTTGTCCGATGAGACGTACTACAAGAAAAGTGACGATAACCCGGTATGTATTCTTGTTTAACTAATATCATTGACTGTTTTTTCCTTTCTGCTTAACAAAAATTACAATTTTACTTCTATGTATAAAAATATATTTTCAATACGCAGGATCTCAAAGATGCAAAAAATGCTCAAAATGTTTTACACGTTTCCTGCTTTTGTATTCAACAAATCATTACCATCTAGTTTTAAAATTTTTTCTAGTGCTCTAAATTTTAGTATATTTAGAACGTAAAAATGTCGATGAAACAGGAATTTGGCGCGCATTTTGATGAAAGATATGGAAGCTGAAATATAACAATAAATTCGTATTTGCCCTAGTGTCCGAGCTAAAAGCTCAGTTAACATAAAAGTTATGTCTACTAGGCTTGTGTTATCCACCACATACATAATCACTTCATATAAACTGTGAGACACAAGATTTAGAAGTCATTCAATGTGAAAATGTAATATAGAACTTATTGTATCTGATCATACGCAAGGGCCGAGAGAAAATAGATTCACATGAATAACTTCTTAACCCTGTGTCTCCATATATAGTTGGCCATTATCAAATTTGATACCGAGCACCACTGTAATGTGCTCTTTACAATCAACTTATCTACTGACAATGATCTCATAACAGTCCAAACATCCTTTTTGATGCAACCAAGTGAGCCAAAGCAAAGCACTTTCAAATCCACCTCCCAACCTAACAACTGCATCAGACTGCACAGCGGCTGATACCGTTTCTCTTTGGTGTTCAGTGCTTGCTCAAAATACAGATCGTAGCAGACAGTCACCTCTAAGATAATGCATTTACGTGACTGATTGTCAGTGATAATGATGTCAGGTTTACGATGCGTAATACGCTGTAATTCATCACCATATTCCGTTATTATTGATTCTGCAAGTTTGTTTGCATGAAACTGGAAACCACTTATACTTCCTGAGATCACCTCAAATATTTTGTCAGCAATTCGATTGTGACGTCGACTATAAAAGTTGTGAAACTCTCTACATCCATTCATCAGATGTGCGACACTTTCCGTGTGCTGATGGCAAAAGGGGCAAGAAGGGTCATTATCACGATTCCATACATGCTTTGTGAAGTTTGTTGGAAGTAGACTCAACCGTGCTTTTATTGCAAACCTCACCAGTAAATCACTTACTTTCCAGTTGTAAAAAATTGAATGGGAGGATTTCAACTGAACATCAGTCATGCAGAGAAAGGGGCCTTGAACTGACAATTGCTTTGCTTTTTGCAAATCTCGATTAACTGTCTGTTTGAATAGCAACTTCTGAAGTGGAGCACCTTCATAAAAAAATTCACCATTAATAATTACTCCAGCCTTTCCTTGCCTGAACTCAATGGAAACATCTAGCTTTCTAGCATATCTCAGAAGATCTGGCCAATCTGATTGACACCCAAATTTGGTACGACTATCCAGGTAGCCGTCTTCACTAATCTCAAACCCAAGGAAGTCCATATCATTATCTGTTGAAGCAACTTTCCGTTTTTCCATATCCAAATTAAGGGATTGACGTGCAATGTTCTTGAACTGTAATTGGGGATGATTCAACATCTTAATGAGAAATGCAATCCTTGTTGACCTATACACATCTGACAAACGCTTAACTCCAATCCCTCCGTGCTCGCGTGGTAAGAAGATGATGAGCTGTGTTGTTGTTTCATACAAATCGTACATATTTCGAAATGCCTTCACCAAGGACTTTTCCATGAGTTCCAACTGCTCCTCTGTAAACCTTGTATTGTAAAAATGGTGGAGAATCTTCGCGAGAGCCAAGTTATTTAAAGCACTAGCCTTTAGAGCAAGGGGCAATTTGCAGCTTGTTATTTTTTCCAATAAATCTTTATAACTTTCTATAACTTCATACACTTGCACAGCATCTTCGCCGGAAAGTGAGAGAGACTTTCCAAGATACTTATAGGACTTGTCACGGGGATAAACTTCGATGACATTTCCTTGAATTGACACAGTTGGCTTTTTATCTGCCTTGCCTTTGTACCAGTTATTCCCAGACCTCCTTGCATACATAACTGCACATTTACTGGGTTTCACTTCTAAACCTGCTATCTTCATGGCAACTTGTCCGATCTCAAACATCTCATTTATAATCGTTACGTCATAACTGACAACAACAACATCATCCGCAAAAGCTTGCAATGGATCCTTCTTTCATCTTCGATGCCCTGCCTGATAACAGCCTCTCTTACCATAGGCTTGCATACTCTGTCAATCACCAATATGAATAAAAGTGCACTCAAAGGGTCACCTGTCTTTGTTCCTCTGATTATATTGAACTCTTTACCAGTGGCGAAGCTAACCAAGAACAGGTGGTCCTGCCCAAAGGGGGTCTGGGGGCATAGCCCCCAGAAAAATCACGTGAAGCCACGCCCTAGACACCCCCGGAAAAGGGGGAAACGCCCTTCCGGATATGTTGAAATCAAAATTGCAGCGAAACATTTTTAACTGCCACATTTTGGAAAAAAGGGGAAAAAGGCTCGGATCCTTTCAAGTTCCTCCTGCCTTACATTGAAGAAGTCAAAAGAGCATCACAAAAATTTTTTCTAAAATAAGCAACATTTGAAAATGTTTTCATTGATTAAAAATTTTGAAATCATTGACTAAAAAGAAATTGCTTGTACAGATAGGCATATACAGTTGTAATACATACTGGAAACATAATTGATTCAAATTATTTGAAAAAAAATAAAAATATTTTGTCACAGCATGGGTATGTCTGATGCACGGTAGATAGGGTCTTGAATCAATTTGTTTTGAATATTAGAGGAGACCCTTAACATTTTGCCAGTACAATACAATCTGAGTCACCGAGTACAAAAGCTCCCAGTAATTACCATTGTTTTCCTTTTCATCCTTTTCAAAGCGACCTTTTCATCGGGACCTCTGAGTTGTAGGGTAGTTCCTGTTTAAGGCAGGAGGACGAACTTCTGAAATTAAATTTAAGCAAGCCATTTTTCTGTCATGCACACTCCATCTCCCCTCGATCTCGACTTTTCTGGTACAAAAAAAACGAAGATTCTCTCTCGGCAGCGGCGGCAAATTTTTCTACTGTTTATAATAGGCCTCTGAATATGACTTCCTTTGCCCTCTGCAGTCTGAGAGAAAACTATATGCTGTCAGGTTCCTCGCGATGTCTGTGATATTCCTGACTTTAACAGTAAATAGGACCAACAGAACGACCCTAAACAATTTGATTTCTATAAGTGCCACTCGACTGAAACGATCGATTCTTGTATAAATCAAGTGACGACAGTGTAGGGCCGAAGCTTCCAGCAGCAAAAACTTCTTCAGCAGCTGAATCATGACGGCTACAGTTAGTTTTATACATGATATCAAAATAGTTAAGCCTGACTATGGCCTGAGTGAAAATTCTTTGTGACCTTTGACCACGGCGCAGAAAATCAACAAATTATACCGAAACATAGGGCTCCAAAAGTCTAGGTCCTGGCTTCATGAAAGAGCAGGACCTGAGGTCCTGCCATTTCTGAAGGGCAGGAGTGCTATTGTTTTCTTCTATTGTGAGGCAGGACCAAAAACAGGGCTACAAGGCGTTTGCCCATTGTTAGGCAGGACCAAACATAGGGTTTAGTCCTGCCTACGAGTATTGAGCAGGACTGACCACAGGGCTAAATTTTTGACGATATCAATTTACGAACGGGATACTCGAAATTCCATTTCAGTCACCCTGTGTCTCAAAATTGAAAAAGGGCACAGCCACGAAGTATAAGTGTAGAATAAGACAAGAAATGCCTTTGAATCAGGCATATAATGATTTCATAAAGTGAATCAATTTTTAATATTTTAAAAATTGTTATCTTTGGTAATTTGTGGTCTTGCCCGGCAGGACAAGCAGGACCTTTGACTTCGCCACTGCTCTTTACTCAATTCAAACCCACAAATCACAGAAAACGAAGAGTAACGGTATAGATCTTCGACCAAGCAACAATAAATCAAAGGAATGTCAAATTCCCGGAGAGAGCTGAAATATAACAATAATAATAATAATAATAATAATAATAATAATAATAATAATAATAATAATAATTCACCATGTTTATGCAGGATAACCTTTTCAGTAAAGATAATGCTGCTATCACTAAGGGTCCTTTAAAATGAAAGTTTGCAAAGAAAAAGGTTCAAAATTATAAAAGATTGAAGTTAAAGCTTAAAGAAAATTTAAAAGGTTAGAAAAGTTACACTACACATTTAAATAAAAGTTACACTAAAAATCCAGGTTTGTGTCCCTGCTGCTTGCTTTAAATCTCAAAAGTGATTTTTCAGTTTGCAAGCTATTTGGTAATTTATTAAAAATCTTTGCACCCTGGAATGAGAAAGTTTTACGCCCCGTTTCTGTCCTAACTTTTGGAATGAATATACTTTTGTTGTTTTTGCGAGTATTCATTTTGTGATTGTGCCTTGTGAAGTAATTTCCAAACGCTTTTGGCGCAATGCCGTTTAAGCATTCAAAAACTTCTAATAATGCACATAGTCTGTTTCGAAGATGGTTTACTCGGGGAAACTTGACATCACTTTTCCTTTTTCCATTGATAATACGCATTGCACTGTCTTGAAAGGCCTCAAATCTTTGTTTTTTCGACTGGGGCATGCCAACAAAGCATTTGAACAGTAAAGCATGACAGGGAGGATCATCACTTTGTAAATAGTTTCAGCAGTGTGTGGACTGCTGTTCTGTCGCACTCGTGATAGTAGCTTCATTCTTGATGACATCGTTTTGACTGTCTTCTCAAAATGGTCGTTGAAATTAAGGTTTTTATCCAATGTTACCCAAAAATATTCAAAGTTTTTGCCTCAGTAATGCTTTTTCCATTCATCTGGATCCTTAGTGGTCTTGATTTTGATGGTACTTAAGGTTATACTCATAATTCAAGCTATGAATTGTTTAACTTATGATTGCATGTTTTATAATAATCATAAATTATTAAGAATTTGATTAACTTTAATTCATCATTGAAATATTGGTTTTTCTTTTGAAAGGTAATCAAAGCTTACAAGAATTTAATGGTTGAAACAGGCCTGCTTTTGGGTGGCGAGAAGAAAAAAACAGAGGAAGCGATGGAAGAAGTATTTCAGTTTGAAAAAAAACTGGCTACAATTTATGAAGCCAAAGATAAATTGCGCAAGGCAGAAAAAATACATCACACGATGACAGTGGAACAGCTGCAGGACCTTTGTCCCGCGGTAAGGTGCTTGTAATGATGATTGTAAACCAACCAAACCCAAGCTCTCTTTCAACTCGCAACTAAACAAGACATTTACCTTTGCTCTTTATTTATTTCATTGCTTTTCAGATACCATGGCTTGACTACATGAACAGTATGTTCAACACAAAAGTTAAATTTGATGAGACTGTGGTGATTTACACGCCGCACTACCTAAAGAACATGTCAGATCTGGTTATCAGAACGGAACGAAGGCAAGAGGTTTACCTTGTCGTTTCAAAAATGTTATTGAAAATGAGCGGCTCAGAAGAATGTTTTCTTATTGCAATTAGTAAATGTTTTCACTGTTTTATGTAATTAAATTTTATTTTTCATCCAGGATTCTTGCAAATTACATGGTGTGGCACTTGATCTACCCCTTGCTGCCAATGATATCCGGTCCGTTTAGAGCTGCCTATTCTGGAATGCTTAAAGCCGAGAGAGGAGTCCAGATCGTCGACACAAGCTGGCGGAGTTGCGTGCTTCAGACAGATTCAGTTTTTGGTTTTGCCACTGGCTATCTTTTTGCAAAAGAGAACGAGAACGATTTCTCTGCAACCAAAAGCGAAGTAAGTTGTAAGGCCAAGGAAAGATTTGAGCCTAAATTCAGTGACAACTACCCCCTGCAAATTAAAACTAATTTATTCAATCCACTATGACTGATTGCTTATTCTGCAAAAAACTTTTGGTTTGAAAAATTTTCCATTTTTTAAATGCAGGTTGAAGGAATGATTACTGCTATTAAAGAGGTATTTCTTAGCGACATTTTACAAAAAGAATGGATTGACGAAGGAACAAAAGCAAGGGCCATTGAAAAGGTGACGTAATTTCTTGTTGCAAATTTCATTTATGTACTCTCCTGTGGAACTAGGACCGTTATCTTAGCTTTGCGCAATAAAACAAAAAGCCAAGAACAAAAGGAACCCAAGAAGACTGCGAAAGCAAAAAAAATATATTTTGCCATTGACTTGAATTTTGTGCACTGAAAGTTTCAAATAAATTTGAAAAGGCTTGCATTCAAATTACTTCAACATTTTGTTTTATAGGTCGCTGCGATTGAAAATATGGTTGGCTATCCAGAATGGATATTCGATGCCGCTTTACTGACAAGTTATTACAGAAATGTACGGGTTTTATTCTTTTGCAGGATAATCATCATGCATATTGCACTTTTCATTTGATTTATTTTCAGATCTCTGATAAATAATGGGAATTATTGAAAATGCATCATAATAATTGTGTAAATCGAGGTTTTTTTTTCTAGTTGTCTGTGACGACAAATCCATTCAAGAACTACCTGAATGCGAGGTCATTTTATCATCAGAAGACAATGAACAGAAGAAATACCAAACCCGCACGCAACGAGTCAGTTATCATATTTTACTATTTTGACTTCTGTCTTACCTTGGACCATTTTTATCTAAAATATTCAGTCAATTTCTTGATATCAATAAAGAATCAATGCGATAATTACAATTAAACTACTATTGTCAAGTAGGGAGCACTTTGTTGATTTCTAAAACTCCTATGTTGAAAAACGCAGATTGGATCTTCGCAGGTCCTCAAAATGTAAAGGATGCTCATATCAAAAAACCAGAAAAAATTTATAAAAAAGGGCTCATATGAACATTTTTCGGAGAAATATTTCAATTTTGTCAATGTGGTAAAATCTTTATCTCCAATTTTGCAGATGGCACGTGACTCCGACTTCGGTGAATGCATTCTACAATGCTCCTCGCAATTACATTGGTAAGCATGTCATAGCTGAATTTATTTGCATTGGCGCAATTCTGTGAAGACATTTCTTAATTTACAAATAATTTTCAATACTAGGTATGCACACAGTAAAGATGTATCTGTTCATCCAAACGGGGTAAACGCTCATTTTCTATAGAGAAAATGTTTCTAGGAATATCGAGGCCACAAACTGCTAACTTAAGAAATGATTGCCAGGCTCAACTTCATCAATAGAACTCATCTGATTTTTTTTTACATTTTGTAGCTCAATTAAAATTTAAATTCACAAAATTACAGCAGTAGAATATAATATTTTTAAAATAAAATATAATTTTTGAATATGCTGAACAATACCACTTACAAGTTAATAGTAGGTGGCCCCCTCCTCATTTCTATTAACTGGCACATTTATATTAACTGGCACAATCTTAAATGGCAAAATATATCGGCTCGAAATTCGATATTGTTTGCGAATATCGACTAAGGCAAAATGTGAAGTGTTCTCTAAAATCATTGATGCAAATAGCAAATGAAGCGGTAGAGAATTCTTTTTAAAAATATGGAATGTTGTTTAGTGAAACTCCTTTTCGACCTTCCCAAATAGTTTTAATCTATTGTTGACAAATTTTGTTGTTTAAAGTTGAAATAGATTAGTCAAAAAGGTGCCAAATTATCAATCACATTAAGAATTGAATATTCCGCATGCAGATATAATTGTATTTTAAAAAACGCTTAGCGGATCTGGCCCGAACCATGTTAATTTTGTCTCTGCTAACGTCACTAGCAATCTTTTTCTTTCATTTTAGCATTTCCATTGGGCGTTTTGCAGTCGCCATTTTTTGTGTCAGACCTCCCTCTGTAAGTATCAAATATAGACAGTGATAAAGTGTCTACTTTTCATTTCTCTTTCATTCCATCAATTTTATTTCAAAACCTAACTTAACTTGCAGAGCAGTAAAGTTTGGTGCACTGGGAACCATAATCGCCCACGAGTTGACACACGGATTTGATAACCAAGGTAGGCTTGTCTGAAACTTTTTTAGATGAATAAAAATCGAATTCAAATTGAAATAAAATGGCGAATGAATTACTTTGCTATAGATATAGTCGGTACAAAACGTGAATGGGCAACTTCTCTTAGGAAAATCAGAGGCTTCACACAATTTCGGACCATTTAATGAAGCAAGAAGTAAAAATCTTTAGAATTTACATCTCGCAGCTTGAAATATGCAAAAAACTTTAAAGTCTATTTTATCACAACAATGAAATAAAAGGACAGGGCAATTTCATAGATTTTAAAGGGGTACTGCGCTGCAGGGCCCGCTCCACTGATTCTAAAGTAGGGGGCCAAATAAGGGGGTGACCTATTTAATACCTGAAGGAGGGATTTGATAGCAAGAAATAGCTATAATTGGCAAGAAATGTGAGAGGCATGCCCCCAGCCCCCATTATGGCACGTGCCCTGCGCTGTGTAAAGTAGGCATTCTCAAAAGTAAACTTGTCTGCGCGGGGACCTGCTCGATCCAGTTTCTCTTTTAATTTCATTCTATTTCAATTAATCCGGCAGTAACGTTTGCACACACGAAACCGTTGCTGGAGAAAACCAATCAATAAGCTGTAATAAATTGGAACTGATACTTGGTGATCACAAAGGGGGAGTGAACATTGTTGAAAAAGAGGGAACAGAAAAGGGGGAACAGAAAAGGGGAGTGAACCTTATTGAAAAAGGGATCAGAAAGGGGGTTAGAGATTTGTTGAAAAAATTATTTTCATTATTAGGGCGAATGTTTGACAAAGATGGGAACATGATGAACTGGTGGAGTGAAAAATCGAAGAAGGAGTATGAGAAGCTAGCATCTTGCTTCCAAGAACAGTATCGGAATCTGACAAATTCCGTATCATTCGCAGTATGTAGATATAATTTCGAGGCATGTTAAAGTAACAATATGTTACACTCTCCTACTTTGTTTCTGTTTTAAAGAAACGAATTGGTGTTGATTAAGACTAGAAATAGTAGCCCCGTGCTTTATTTGTTTGATGGCATGGCAATCTCTTGCAGAGCCGAAGCAAACATATTACTATCATTTTGAATGCATAGTGCAAAAATCTAGGGATTCAACCAATTTGACTTTTACTTTTCTTTCCTGTAGCAAAGCATAACGCACATTGTAAGAGGAATCTTCAGCTTTAGTATATATAAAAAAATATTGTAGATGACTTAGCCCTTTTCCGCTTTATATTGCATCTAAGTAAGTAGATCTTTCTTCAGAGATATAAGAAACCTTGGGACCCCCGGAAACATTGCATGTGCTTTTCTAGCTAGGTTGTTTTTACTTTTTCAATGTATTTTATGCCAATCTTCTTGGTGACTGTTAAAATTACTTAGTGCCCTTCTAAAAGTCATGCAACCCCCCTCCCAAAAAAGATGAATATTTTCTAATTGCCTGTCTCTTTTCCCTTGCAGTATAACAGCAAACAGACCCTTGCTGAAAACATAGCAGATAACGGTGGCTTGCATCTGGCATTTATGGTGATTATAATTTTCTTGTTTTCACTTGACTGCATTTCAAATTCAATTTTCTGTCATACTCTGAACGGCGATTATATTTTTCCTTCTATAATTGGAAGTTGTTAAACTGCGTCTAAAAAATATGTTATATAAACGAATTGATCTTTAATAAAGACGACGCATGATTAAGATGAGACTTAATTAAATCTACGACTTTACCACCGTTCGTTTAAATAGACAGTTCTTGTGTCAATGAACTTAGAGAGAAAAATCCACCCACCCATTCTATTAAACGTTCATTTCATCTTCGACTTTTGGAAGTTTTTCATTCTTATTTTCAGGCTTACAAGTTACTGCGCAGGAACACAAAAGCAAACGTACTCCTCCCCGGTGTTCCACTTAGTCCAGATCAGTTGTTCTTTGTGTCTTTCGCCCAGGTATTCTCAGTGCAAAATAGACGAGCTCAAATCAAATTTGTCAAATTTGATCACAGCATTTGATATTACTTTTAAAATTACAATAACAAAAATATTTAATTTGAGAGTATAACTCTCATCGTTATTGTCTCCCAGACCTGGAAATAAAATAATTTCACAGTTGTCGACCATTTTGTAAGTCCACTTTTTAAAGTTTATTGCCAAAGTTTGTTTATAAAAAATGTTATTTCATTGAAGGTGTGGTGCACTGCCAGTACAGCTTCAAGTGCAGAAGAAGCTGCTATCACTGACCGCCATAGTCAAGAGCGTATTCGGTCGGTAAAGTTCCTTCACAGATATTGAATTTTGTCTTAAAAATTCGTTCTCATCATAAGGCAGACACTCATCGCTTACACTCATCTTTAACCCCACAAAATTAGCCATTAATAATTTTCCAGATTGACAAGAAGCGTTTATAAATCACACCAATCAAATAACCTACCTGGTTCATAAATATATTTACCTTATTGCTCTATGTTAATGATTCAAATTGTTTCTAGCTTCTTTGCTTTTTATCGGAAGGAGGAGGGGAAGGGGGGGGGGGGAGGCAGGAGATTTAGGAAGGGTGCGAGCCCGCTTAGCATTTTTGTTTAGGGACCTCCTCCTTGATTCTAGATGTAACTATATTATGTCCTTTTCCCTCGTCTTTTGCTGTAATTCTGTAAATCGTGATGTAACCTAGTTAGTTTATAAACGTTTTTGTATTATTGATAAGAACTTTGTTTAATATTACACGTTTGATTGACTAATTAGAATGACATTGAATTGAAAGACACGAATCATATTCATATCACACTTGAAAATACAATTATCAATATATTCATTAATATTGATTTGATTATTTAATCCATCAATCCTTTACGAAGAAGGTAAGCTTCAGAATTTTGCTTCTTGTCTCTTAGATATTTATGCACTGCTTTGCCTTTAATCAAATGATCAATACAAGAAAACCTTTAATCAGATGTCAATTCATTTTTTAGTGTTCTGGCAACTATTTCGAATTCGCAACAATTTTCCTCCACTTTTGGTTGCAAATCAAATTCAAAGATGAACCCAGAAAAGAAATGTAGAGTGTGGTGAAGCATAAAAGCTGAAATTTATTTTGCTGTAAATCTTCGACTAAGACAAAGTTGTAACGTACCGTTTTGTTTGATCAAATAAAATTTGGTTGCTATTTAACTCAAGAAAAAACGACATCAGATTTTGTTTATTCTCCAAATCCTTTTAGATACCAAGTCTTTGTGTGTTTACTTTGTAAAAACAGTAAGTTAAAGTAAAATAAAGAAAATAACAGTTTCAGTGGCCTTTGATAAAAGTGACTATATTCCGAAGTAAACTTGTACTGGCCTAAAAGATGTAGTAAGACAATCCAATCTACAAAACGGCTCAACTGTAAAAGTTAGTTTAAAACATTTAGAATAAAAGACAATTTTTAAAGGGAAGTATTGAGGGACCTTGCAATAAAAACAGTTACTCTATACGTAGCATGATGAAAAGCGCAAGTGGGAACAAGACTTTTGATTTGATATTCATTAAATTTGATCAACCACTGTGGAGGACAACAGACCACACAGGAAATCGGAAATGATCCCACATTTACAAGATGGCTGCACAATAGTCGACCGGCTGCCTATTGTTTAAGCGTAGCATGAAACTGTATCACATTGAATTCGAAATGGCGGCTACAGATGCAGGTAGTATTTCCTCGTTTTATATTCGCGTTTGCCAATGTTTTGAATCTGCTGACTTTAATGGCAGGGTAGAACTATGATCAGACGTAATAATAAAATCATATTTTAAAGAATTTGCTGGTGTCTACAGAGGCAAAACTATTAATTGAAACGCGATCAAAGCAAGGAGTTAAAACGTTGCCGTGGCTTCAAAGACAAATAAAAGGATATCGAGAGGGGGTTGGGTTTGCATTTAAAGAAATTTTCAGAAACATGGATTTGAATTTTTCATGTCAGAAAGAAATCTAGCATCTAGATTTAGTGAGTGGATAGCTCTCTTGTTGTACCAAAGAGCATGAACATAAATGTCAAGCATTGAACATGTGGTCTTGAGGACAATTATAAACCATTACAGAAACCATAAACTAAAAGACCCTAGCCTTGGCCTGGAATCCAGATTTTTCCTGGATCAGCCCCTGCTCAGTTAAATTTGCAATTTTGAGGCGTCAACAAGGCCATTTTTCTTAAAGCCGACACCTTTGTTATGTAAGCATAAAATGAGAGCTTACTGGAACTGTTGTCAATGAAACCACGGAATTTAAAATTTCAAATGTTAAGTTTTTACACGAGAATTGACCAAACGACAATCATGTTTATGTGTCAGCTTTCCATATTTTAGAATTTCACTACATACAAAGCTTTTGTTCTATTTCTGCAGTACATACAATACAAATCAAGTACAAGTACAGTTTAAAAAGCAAAGCTACAACTTACAAAACATGTTACATATCGCAAGGAAGGTGATTTCTTCCTCAAAAAACTTGCTCGCTAGCCAGGATACACATATTTTCGATAAGATACACCTTATAAGAAACAGTAGGCTCAATATTCCAAAAGGCTCAATACCCTCACTGAATTTAAAAAGTTAAAGAACTTTAGTAAGTTGTAGTCTTAATTATCGAAATAACTCAAAACAGTTTTGACATTGGAGGCCACTGTAAACTGCAACCCGATCTTTAACATGCAAGTTTCATTCATTGTCAGTAAGCCGCACACTCAAGAAGTTTCTATTTAAATATCTGTTTTGACTTCAAATATTCGAGGAACTTAAACTGAAGTAGCACGTAATAAACTTTTCGTAGCAAAATGGCCCAAATATTAAGAAATTACCAACAAGCCCTGGAAATCAGTTTCTTAGAAAAGATGCTGTACTAGGGGGGGGGGGGGGGGGGGGTACACACTTTGCTACAAGGTAAACTGGTTTCAGTTTTATGGGGTCTAAAATTCATGCTCCCAGCTCCGTGAAAAGACAAAATTACAGATAAGGAGGGGGGGCGGGGGTGCCATCTAGCTGCCATTCATTCACTTTAGAAACAATACGCAAGGGTATTATCATTCGCTGCAGTGTTTCTTTTAATATGAAGCAAGGAAATCAGGAAAATAAGTGAAGACACGTTTCTCTAAATTCCTACTGTTGAAGATTTTCGGTGCACACCAAGAGGTATACATACGATTACAAATGAAACACATTGCTCTTCAATAAAAGCTCTTCAATAAAATTTGTGCTGGGTAACATAAATACATTGTTTTAATTCACTTAACGACTACAATAATCGAAGGAAAGGCATTTACACATTTAAAATGCATAATAATGTTGGGTATCATGCTTAACAATAGCTTAATTATAGCTCAATATTTTGCTCGATTAAATACACCAAAAATAAGAGGGTTATTACCGATTGCCCACAAAGCAAGTTTACATAGCAACAATATTTTTAACATAAAAATTATTGGTTCAATTTTTATTAAACTTACATAGAATAAGTTCTTGGATTGCCTGCATTGACAAGGCCAAAGAACACCAGAAGTGACGAGGCAGCAAAAGTTGATTGAAATTGTTGGGATTTGCAGTCGAACATGAACATCGTTTCAGCATCCGCCAGTCTTGCTATCGTTCTCCTTTTGCAAAAAGGGAGTGTTATGAGTCACAGAAGTGAATTTAAAGCGACAGGTTTGATCACATGATGGCAGGACTAAAAGGAACATTCCTGGAGCAATGTGCATTCATAATGCTGGCAATCAAGGGCCTGTGATTGGACAAATGCCCTCATAGCAGTTTTTGTTATTGTTTTGTCGTGCAACTGAAGCATGGTCTTGCAACATTTGGGACTCTTCTCTCCGCGAGCTAACATGTTATTATCTTTGAGCAACACCTTCGCAAAGGGGCGTGCTTTCCTGCATGCTGTTGGCTTCAGTGCATCTGATTGGCTGCTCAATCTGTGCTTCTAGTCTCAGTAGATTTCTCTACCAATCCGAAGCCCGCTGAACTCAAAGCATGTAACGTCCCAAGGGCAACCTTGAACATGGACATCGCCCCATCGGGACCTAGACTTTGAGGGAATTTATTATGGGTTGGCCACAGAGGCGTGCATTTCTTCCCGCCATTTTTCAACAGAATTCATTGGCTGCAAACTGTTAACTCGACAAAAAGTATAATATTATTGGCTGATTTCAAATTCAAAAACCGTTGACCAACTTCAAGAGGAATTTTATTCAGCGTGGTTTTTTCTTTTCTTTGTGTTCAGGCCAACGTGTAATACAGGCCTTTGGTAAACTAGGAATGATGTCGAACTCGACGAAACTGGATTCACGGTTAGTGTTTTCTTGCAAATTTACTTTTGACGTAACAGTAAATAATCTTGTTTCTTACCCCATGGATTTAAATTTCGATGTTAATGTTTACTGCGAAGTGAACCCTAACGCCTGAAATTTGAAGGAAATTTGTTACCTTTATTTTATATCTCTACAATGTGTACAGAGAGAACGTTTTCAACGCAATTACAATAACAGTTGCTGAATCTTTATATATCAATCAGCATGGTATAGACATTACATCATACAAATACATATACACACTTTTATTTTTATTTTTTTGTCTATTTATTTTGCTAAAAAGGTATCTAGGTCAAGATGGCCTTTCACCTAATTACAACATTAACATACTGCTACAAAACTTTTCACGCGTTTTTATACGAACCAGTGAATTTAAGTTCGGGCTGACTGTTCTTAATTTTTTCGAAAATCTGAGGCTGGATTGTTCTAAATGTTTTTCTAAATAAAGAAGGTGTAAGCAGCGCAATTGCTAGTTTTTTTCGCTCCAGGGAGGTTTCCAGGCCACATTTGCCAACAAATTGACTTAGACAACCTTCATTTTTATACAAATTTACACCGATAACACAACCACAACAGAAGTTTTATGATGAAATTTTGCTTAAAATTATATTTTACAGTAGCTCAGCCTCAGCTTGTTGTTCATTTGTTCTTAACTTTTAACCAATTTTGAGGCTCGTGTTTTTACAAAATTGTTTTTATAAAAAAGTGTGTATTTGCTTGATGCTAAAAGCGCCATCACGCTTGTTCATTTTTAAACATCAATTTTCAAAGTAAGTGCTTAAAATGTATCTTTAATCAGATAAACCGAGTCACAGCTCCTTGTTTGCCAACGCTGCTCAAGCCAGTTTTTAAATGTATTCGAATTAGGTGCATAAACTACAGCTTTCGGTCGGCTCTTCTAATGCATCTTGGATATTTCCCAAATCTTATTGCCTCATTTAGATAGAACTGTCCGAATGGAGCCTGAAATATGATAAGCGATAAGGGGGGCCACAGCCCTTCCAGCCCCTATTTCTATTAGGCCTATAATTCTACAACTTCAAAGTTTATCGAAGGGAGAACTTATTTTGTATTTAATTATTTCGAAGGGATATTCTACAAAGGACAAGAAGATTGAAATGAACGTCAAAAGAAACCAGGTCAAAGGATTTAACATCCTAGAATCCATGCAAAAGACCTCGTGTCAGGCGAGTTTATTTTATTTTCTTTCCTTTTTTTCTCTCTGAGTGATGAAAATGATTAATGGCTCTGTTTGACCATTATACAATAAATAATTTCAGCAGACACCTGTTGAGATAAAGCGTTGGAACTAATTTCTTGCGAAAGAAAAAAGGTGTCGTTTGACCTTATAGAAGAAATTGATTCAGCAAATTATGCAATTATTTGTAATTGATTCATTGTTTTGCTTTTCAAAGATATATTTACTATGTAGATCACTTTGCTTACTCTGCTTTCTATTTTTATTTAAAGAAACTCAAGGTTTCATCATTTCAAATTCTTCAAATGAATATAAAAAATTGTTGTTGATTTCACTTTTGCCATTAGATCGAACATAGTGGTTCTCATATTAACCTTTTGAAAATTACTGCATCTTTAGAAATTTGTGGAGTGGTTCTGATATTAACCTTTTGAAAAATACTGCATCTTTAGGAATTTGTGGAGTGGTTCTCATATTAACCTTTTGAAAAATACTGCATCTTTAGGAATTTGTGGAGTGGTTCTCATATTAACCTTTTGAAAATTACTGCATCTTTAGAAATTTGTGGTTCTCATATTAACCTTTTGAAAATTACTGCATCTTTAGGAATTTGTGGAGTGGTTCTCATCTTAACCTTTTGAAAATTACTGCATCCTTAAAAAATTATGGATTGGCTCAAGCCTTTTAGCCTCCACGCTTTCTCAGTCCCCGCTACAAATAATTTAAAAAGGGAACAGTAACAGTTTAATAATTAAACAGGATAAACAAAGCAAACTATTAAACATTATTCTAAATGCAGATCTGTAATATCTTAAAGAAATATCTTCCAGAAGGAATTCGTTTACAAGCATATGACAGTTGACAAGGTACCATTAAAGAACACTCAAAATTTATTGAATGGCGAAATGTCTCCTATTAAATTGACTATATCAAATTTGTCAGAAAACAAAATATCATTAATGATTGTGTTGTTCATTATTCATAAAAAGAACAGCTAGAAACATAAAGACAAGGAAAAATAAAAAAATTATTTTAAATATTTAATCATATTATGAAATTCGAAGGTACATTGTTTAAAAAACTTTGGAAGTTAAAAAACTATGGCAGTTGAAAGTCGGTGTAAAAGAGGCTGAGTTCAAAGTTTTTTTAACATACGAAAGAGAAGGACAATTGCCCCTGCTGCGCCAATAACATTCCATTGTTTAAAAAATAGGTTATTGTCTTCCTCTCCATCTGAAAAAAGGTTTGCACCGCAGATATTTATGAACAGCCTGATATGATTCTTCGTTGAAGGTCCTTCTTAAATGAAATTTTTTTTTGTCGAACTACTTACGGCAAAAAGAAAAACAAAGTCGGTTAAACTGATAAATGTTCTTTCTTGTGTTTATAGAATAACTCAAATAATTCTTCGTTAAAGGTCCATCTTAAATTTGTTACGTTTTGTCTAACTACTTGTGAAGAAAAAAAATAGCTGGTTAAACTGATAAATGGTCCTCTGTTGTATATGTTGTATATATTTCAAACATTAAATAATTCTTTCTTAAAAATCCATCTAAAATAATTTCTATTTGGTCGAACTAATTACGGCAAAAAGAAAACATGGTTGGTCAAACTGATAAATGGTTCTTTCTTGTGTTTATGGAAAACCTAAAATGATTCTTCGTTGAAGGTCCATCTTAGTTGAATAGTGTTTAATCGAACTACAGTAGAAACCCGCATAAAAGAACCTGTTTTTATAAGAACATTGAGGCTGCAATTTAACCTTCAAATCCCCATAATTAAGAAACTCCAAGAGGCTGAAGATTGGGAGGGTTCTTAAATATATAAAAGATGAAATGGTTTTTAGAGTAAACCAGGTTATGGTATGTTGTATGCTACTTGGACAGTCTCACAGAACAAATTCATTAGATTGGTTGAAATTTAACATAAAAAAGCTGGTTCAAGTGTGTCCATTAGAATTTTTGCGGTGGAAAACATTGTTAATGTATGCAAGTCCTGTACGTATAGGAGACTCGTTAAGAAACTTTTAGACTGAAATTTAGAATAGCAGCCTGTTAATTAGGAACCTATTCAGGCTGCCTGATAAAAACTTAGGTTCCTTTATGCGCGTTTGTACTGTACTTACGAAGAAAAGAGAAAAATAGCTGCTTAAACTGATAAATGGTTCATTCATAAATTTCTTAAAAGACTGAAATGGTTCTTTGTTTAATGTCCACCTTTAATATGTTGCTTATGGTCCAAATACGTGCGGTGGAAGGAAAAAAAGGCTGGTAAACTAATGAATGGTCCTTCATTGTCCTTAAAGAAAACCTTGAATGATTCTTCGTCAAAGATCGATCTTAACAGTGTTGCGTTTGGTCCAAATATGTGCGGTGGAAAGAAAACATGGCTCGTTAAACTGATAAATGGTCTTTCTTGTGTTTAAAGAATACCTCAAATGATTCTTCGTTAAAGGTCCATCTTAAATGAATCTTTGTTTTCGAACGACTTACGGCAAAAAGAAAACATGGTCGGCTGAACTGATAAATGGTCCTTTCTCGTGTTTATGGAAAACCTTAAATTATTCTTCATCAAAGGTCCATCTTAACTGTTTTTCGTTTGGTCCAAATATGTGCGGTGGAAAGAAAACATGGCTCGTTTAACTGATAAATGGTCTTTCTTGTGTTTATAGAATACCTCAAATGATTCTTCGTTAAAGGTCCATCTTAATTGTGTTGCGTTTGCTCCAAATATGTGCGGTGGAAAGAAAACATGGCTGATTAAACTGATAAATGGTCTTTCTTGTGTTGATAGAATACCTCAAATGATTCTTCGTTAAAGGTCCATCTTTACTGTAATGCTGTAAACTAAACTTTTTCTGGTGATCTTTTGTGCGGCTTCCTCGTGAGGAATATAAACAGCTTGTTTACCAATCTAAGATATTCTTGGCTATCTAGACAAGACTCTAATCGTATATGACTATGTTAAAGAGCATCAAGAGCTGTTTTAATCTATGTTGTGCTAGAGAGGGCTTATCTTGGTATTGTACTTAATCTCATTCGCTGCTGCTTTCTATTGGCCGTTGATATATTTTGTCAGAGTTTTACAGATAGCTATCTTTGTTTCTCATCGTTTTCTCCTTTGAATGGTTGATTCTTATTGAATTCTGACTATTGCTTGAAAGTTTACGATGGACTTGTTGTTGTAACAAAATTATCTTGCTGTAAACTCTTGGTTTTGGCATTTTAACAGCTAAACTGATAAATTGTTAATTCTTGTATTTTTAAAAAGCCTGAAATGGTTCTTTGTTGAAAGTCCATCTTTAATGAGTTGCGTATGATGGAACTACTCACGACAAAAAGAAAACATGGTTGGTCAAACTGATAAATGGTTCTTTCTTGTGTTTATGGAAAACCTCAAATGATTCTTTGTTAAAGGTCCATCTTAACTGTGTTTCGTTTGGTCCAAATATGTGCGGTGGAAAGAAAACATGGATGGTTAAACTGATAAATGGTCTTTCTTGTGTTTATAGAATACCTCAAATGATTCTTTGTTAAAGGTCCATCTTAACTGTGTTTCGTTTGGTCCAAATATGTGCGGTGGCAAGAAAACATGGATGGTTAAACTGATAAATGGTCTTTCTTGTGTTTATAGAATACCTCAAATGATTCTTCGTTAAAGGTCCATCTTAATTGTGTTGCGTTTGCTCCAAATATGTGCGGTGGAAAGAAAACATGGCTGATTAAACTGATAAATGGTCTTTCTTGTGTTTATAGAATACCTCAAATGATTCTTCGTTAAAGGTCCATCTTTACTGTAATGCTGTAAACTAAACTTTTTCTGGTGATCTTTTGTGCGGCTTCCTCGTGAGGAATATAAACAGCTTGTTTACCAATCTAAGATATTCTTGGCTATCTAGACAAGACTCTAATCGTATATGACTATGTTAAAGAGTATCAAGAGCTGTTTTAATCTATGTTGTGCTAGAGAGGGCTTATCTTGGTATTGTACTTAATCTCATTCGCTGTTGCTTTCTATTGGCCGTTGATATATTTTGTCAGAGTTTTACAGATGGCTATCTTTGTTTCTCATCGTTTTCTCCTTTGAATGGTTGATTCTTATTGAATTCTGACTATTGCTTGAAAGTTTACGATGGACTTGTTGTTGTAACAAAATTATCTTGCTGTAAACTCTTGGTTTTGACATTTTAACAGCTAAACTGATAAATTGTTAATTCTTGTATTTTTAAAAAGCCTGAAATGATTCTTTGTTGAAAGTCCATCTTTAATGAGTTGCGTATGATGGAACTACTCACGACAAAAAGAAAACATGGTTGGTCAAACTGATAAATGGTTCTTTCTTGTGTTTATGGAAAACCTCAAATGATTCTTTGTTAAAGGTCCATCTTAACTGTGTTTCGTTTGGTCCAAATATGTGCGGTGGAAAGAAAACATGGATGGTTAAACTGATAAATGGTCGTTCTTGTGTTTATAGAATACCTCAAATGATTCTTCGTTAAAGGTCCATCTTAATTGTGTTGCGTTTGCTCCAAATATGTGCGGTGGAAAGAAAACATGGCTGATTAAACTGATAAATGGTCTCTCTTGTGTTTATAGAATACCTCAAATGATTCTTCGTTAAAGGTCCATCTTTACTGTAATGCTGTAAACTAAACTTTTTCTGGTGATCTTTTGTGCGGCTTCCTCGTGAGGAATATAAACAGCTTGTTTACCAATCTAAGATATTCTTGGCTATCTAGACAAGACTCTAATCGTATATGACTATGTTAAAGAGCATCAAGAGCTGTTTTAATCTATGTTGTGCTAGAGAGGGCTTATCTTGGTATTGTACTTAATCTCATTCGCTGTTGCTTTCTATTGGCCGTTGATATATTTTGTCAGAGTTTTACAGATGGCTATCTTTGTTTCTCATCGTTTTCTCCTTTGAATGGTTGATTCTTATTGAATTCTGACTATTGCTTGAAAGTTTACGATGGACTTGTTGTTGTAACAAAATTATCTTGCTGTAAACTCTTGGTTTTGACATTTTAACAGCTAAACTGATAAATTGTTAATTCTTGTATTTTTAAAAAGCCTGAAATGATTCTTTGTTGAAAGTCCATCTTTAATGAGTTGCGTATGATGGAACTACTCACGACAAAAAGAAAACATGGTTGGTCAAACTGATAAATGGTTCTTTCTTGTGTTTACGGAAAACCTCAAATGATTCTTTGTTAAAGGTCCATCTTAACTGTGTTTCGTTTGGTCCAAATATGTGCGGTGGAAAGAAAACATGGATGGTTAAACTGATAAATGGTCTTTCTTGTGTTTATAGAATACCCTAAATGATTCTTTGTTAAAGGTCCATCTTAACTGTGTTTCGTTTGGTCCAAATATGTGCGGTGGCAAGAAAACATGGATGGTTAAACTGATAAATGGTCTTTCTTGTGTTTATAGAATACCTCAAATGATTCTTTGTTAAAGGTCCATCTTAACTGTGTTTCGTTTGGTCCAAATATGTGCGGTGGAAAGAAAACATGGATGGTTAAACTGATAAATGTTCTTTCTTGTGTTTATAGAATACCTCAAATGATTCTATGTTAAAGGTCCATCTTTAATGAATCTTTGTTGTCGCACGACTTACGGCAAAAAGACGACATGGTCGGTTAAATTGATAAATGTTCCTTGCTTGTGCTCAAAGAAAAACATTCAATAATTCTTCGGTAAAGTTCCATCTTGAACGAATTGTGTTTGGTCAATCTACTGACAGTGAAAAGAGTTGCGTTTGGTCGAACCATGTGTGGTGAAAAGAAAATATGGCTGTTGAAACTGACTAATGGTCCTGGCTTCTCTTTATTAAAAGTCATAAATATCTCTTGGTTCAAGGTCCATCTTAAAGGTGCTTTTTTTTGTCAAAATTCGCTAATTGAATACAACACCGGGGTTTTAAAACTGTTGAATGCTCTATCCCTGTAGTGAAAAAGGTGAGTTTATACTTTGTTCTTGGTTAAAGAGCCATGTTTGGTCAACATTTGTTTGATGGTGGGAAAAAAGGACTATTTCATTTAACTTTTTTTTATTTAAAAATTTGCATAAATTCTTGAAATGTTGATTGGTGAAAAGTTCTTGATAAAGAGGCATTGAATGCTGATAATAGTCAAATTATATATCTGACTATATATCTGAAAACTATAAATTATTTTTCGATTCAAAGCAGCAGCAATTTTGAAGTTAACTTGATAAAGTAAAAAATTGAAGAAAATATTAGTCTAGCTATAAAAGTCTGCATATTCTAGCTATAAAATAAAGTACCCATTGACAACAGTTTTCAAAGAACAATGAATCTAACTTTTTTTAAGAGTTCTTTTTAAGCATTGGCTGCCAAGAGCCTTCAACTCAAGATGTGGTAATGTAACCAGCTCAAGTGGTAATCTTTATGGGTATTTTTTTATATATATTATATTACATCAGATTATGATCATTTATGGTTGAAATTCAAACAGAGATCTTTAAATTGCAGAATTCTAACGGAAAGTAAACGCTTTTGCATAGTACTTGATAGAATATTTTCCAATGAAACCTGGACAGATATATTATTAAAAGTGATATTTATTCGTGATCTTAATGTTGCTGTGAAAGTAGAAATATTTCTGTTTAATAAAATTAGAGCTAGGAGAAAAAATTCAACTTGTTAATCTCCAGATCTAGAACAACTTTAATTGCAATATTTTTCCACCATGTAAAGCAGATTTGCCAACAGATTTAATTGCTTGAAATAACTTCTTATTCATGCATACCATAGAGCTGGACACCGTGGCGAGTTGACTGGAGACTGCTGCAAAAAGGCGAAATGGCAGTGAGTTATATGAATTTATTGTTATGATTACTTTAACAAGAGGCCAAAAATAAAGAGAATATAAATCAAGTATTTAACATTGTCTTGGGACATGTAAGCAGCTAGTTATCTAGTATTTTACGTTTGTTGTATGTAATTAGTGGCTATCACGTCGGCATAACTAAATCTAGATATTTCCTGACGTTTCCTTCGAAGAAACAAAGAGGAATGTAGCAAACATTTAAAAAATAATCCAGTATTGTGTTTCATTTTGTGAGAGAGGATTTCTAAACAATGCGAGATGAAATATGAAACAAGCCTCACCATAAATAACCTCTAAACATAAGTTCAAGACACTTTATACATATTATTATTAATATTACTAATGAATTTTCCTTTATCTCAATAAATCTCTAAACTTTGTTGTGTCTAGATGGTCGTAATTTATAAAACTGCATTTCAGATTCCTGTTGCCAACGAAGCTAAAGAGCCAACAGACGATAATTAAATGGAGATAAATGCTGTTTAGCTGAAGAGTCGAAAAAGGTACGTTTCAAAAATTCAAGATTTTATCTTTTGTATCATTTTTCTATAACATTTTGAGTGCATGAAAATTTTCGATTAATTTCCTTTGAACGTAGGTACTTTGAGGAATATTCAAAAATAAGATAGACGATCAAACAACGGACATTCAAAATTTAAAAAAAGTCATTTGGTTTAAAGGAGATGAAATGATGATAGATAGAAGAGGTAAAAAATTCCTCTTCAACCCCTGAATCGTGGTGATCAAGATACAACAACTTTAACAAAGTAAAAACAAGATACTGCGGATACAAAACATTGAGATATGAAAAGTAAACTGAATTTGAGACTCTTTTTTTGTTCAGAACTAAGCCGTTTAGACATTTCAAATTATTTTCAAAATTGTTCTCACATTTGTTTATCCACAACTTAAATGGTATAATAATAATTTGCTAGATCGATATGAAAAATATGATTCTTTGGAACTCAGAGACATGACATTCCAATGCCGAAAAAGCTATTGAGCAGAA